AAATGTAAATACAAACTCAAACATTGAAAAACTAACATTCAAACAAACAAATTTTATATAAAAATAATTTGATGCTGCAGATTTTCGAAAAAAAACTATAATATTTGGTTTGATACTATAGTTTGTCCAACACAACTTGATTTAATATTTCAATTTGCATATCCTAAACCAATTCAAAATCCCTTAGGTAAATAACATTTTGGTTAAACCCAAAAGACAATTTTTTCTTAAACGAGGCAACTAGGAAATAAAAATACAGAAAATGTCATCTATCTTTTAAAATAACAAAAACAAATTACATTTCTTTTACTCTTAAACAAATTTTGATTTGATTTAGCTAAAAAAAATTCTTTTTTTATTTATTTGTGATCACTTTTTTTCTCACTATAAATAAAATCCTCTAAAGACAAAACTCGAGGTATTCGCAGGGTTTCTCTCTACCTCAATTTCCTCTTGTCTCTCTCAATGAAAAATCTCCTCCAGGTTCGTTACTCTTCCATCTCGCCTTATCAATTCTCATGTCCATGTACATTATCTATATGCAATTTCGCGATTTGATGATAAAAGTTTTCTCTTTTTTTATTTTTCCGCGAACCAAAATTGGATTATGTTTGATTGTTTTTCCCTTTCATCCTCCTAGGGTTTGTTCTTGATATTCCGATGCAATTTTTGCAGGGATGAATTCACAAGACTGATGATAGTTTCCGTGTTGGGCATGTCAAGTTTTTACATTTCGATGATTCGGGTTATTGGAAAAATTCAGACTTTTATCGCTCTCGTGAATCGGGTCTAGTGATTTGATAGCATGTCTGGGATTTTAGGGAATAAATTTGTTAATTTTATCTGCAATTCATTGGGTTTGGAGCAATCTGAGAGTGGCTGATTGCTTTATAGTGGATACAAATCTGGAGTTTTTATCCCCAGTTTTGGCATTTGAGGAAGGGATTTGGTATAGAGTATAGTTTGTAAGGGTTTTGCTTTTCTCCAGTGTTTTCGATTCTTGAGTGGATGGAGAAAGAGAGAGTGAGTGATGAGATGTACCGTGATGAGCCTTTAGGTTCCGAGTTGGCCGTGTTTGAAGGAGGCGAAGGGAGTGGTGTGGTGTTTGCACCTCTAAGAGGTAATGACCAAGCTAGAACTCAACCGAGTAAGTGCTCTGGTTGTAATGCAAAGAAACTGCAATGCAGGAGAAATGTTGATGTTCTTGAGAAGGGAGATCTGGTGAATGAGAAGAAGCTTAATAGACAGGATAGAATCGAATTGGGACGTCTTTTCCAAGGTGCTATTAGCACACAGGAATGGGAGCTTTCCGAGAGACTGATTCAGCTTGCTGATCCACAAACTTTGAATGATTTGTTGTGTATTAGTCTAGATTCTGTTTGGTTCTTGAGAACGGAGCATGAGTTACGGGGAATCACGGGATTGATTGCAAAGATCATATGTCATGGTGCTCATGACTATACTAGAGCTACACTTAGGACTTCATTTCTTGCTTCGTGTGTCTCATCTTGCCGGAGCCGCACTGTGAGTCTTGCCGATACTGTAACTGTAATGGCTCAAAGGTACACATTTAATTCTCGCATAAGATGATTCTCCTTCTCTTATAATTATAATGCAACGCACTTTTGGATTATTAGGTTACTTTTATGATTCCGTGTTTCTTATGTTGCTTCATTCGTCCAACACGTTGTGTTTTACTTGTTACAGTGATTGGTTACATCTGCGAGTGTTTTAGTTTTGTTTACTTATCTTAGAGTTGCTATCTGTTAATTCTGTAATATCTCTTTTGTTCGTCCTCCTCCTTGGGTTAGCTGGGAAGGGTGGGATACCCTTACTATATAAATCTATTTTTTTTCCCATATCGGCGTATCCAGGTTGCAAGAGCGTCTCCAAGAGTGTAGCGGAGATGAGGTTCTAAAAGCAGAAGCTGGTGCCAAAGTTCAAAAGTTTACGGAATGGGCCATCAGATGTATAGGTTTCCACTCCCAGTGCCAGGGCCCCAGAGATAAAGCTAACCGAGACTCAGCAGAGATCCAACTCCAGCTTTCTGCTTTCAAGACGTTCTTAGATCTTGCAGGAAACCATCTATCAGGAAAGGATTTCACAGAAGCCTTTGATGCAGCTTGCTTCCCGCTTACGCTGTTCTCCACCTCGTTTAATCCTGGCTGGGCTTCTGGAATCTCAGCTACGGTCATACATGGATTGCTCGGTATGCTAGTGGAAGGAGGCGCAGATAACGTAAATCAGTGCTTCCTTGAAGCTTCTCGTTTTGGGAGCACAGAACTTGTGCGCATCTTGTTGCAGGTAACTCTAATCCTTAATGATTGCTTGCAAGCTTCTTTGTGCACTCTAACTTTCTATTTCCCTGGTGCAGATTGCTCAAAGGAATAGCTTAGACGTGGATGTGGACTTAGCCCTGGGTTTTGCGTCGCATTATAGTAAAATCGAAACGATGGATTGCCTAGTGGAAGAAGGTAATGCCATTGCGTTTTTGGGTCCATTGATGAGAGCAGCAGAGAGAGGTTGCATGCAAGTTGTTCAATGGTTTGTGAAAAGAGGCTGTCGTGAAATGGAGCTGTGCTTGGCTCTAACAGCCGCCACTTCAAGCAGCCATGACGAGGTCGCTGCTTATCTCCTTCCTCATGTACCAAGACCTGTCCTCACTGCTCTCAGCATCGAAATCCTCAAAGCAGCCGGTGAAAGAAGTGGTGGTTCCTTCCACGGAGTAGAGTTTCTTCTTAAATCAGATTTCCTCGGTGATCCGGTAGCCACTTATTCAGCTGCAGAGACCATTGCAAAGTCGGAAGACGAGTCTGTTCCTCCAGAACTGAAATCGTTTCTCCAAGAACACTGGTCAGAAGCTGCATTCAACCAAGGATTGAAGGAAAGCCGCGAAAACTTCATCAACTTCATGAGGGTATTGAAAATCGGCGAGTCTGCAATACGTTTAAACGATCTCCCAGCACCATTGAGGGTTGCAATCGCTTACATGCCGCTGTACAGAGAGTGTGTGAAGGTGGGTGGACGGTTGCTCTCACAAAAGCTAAGAGGACAGCTCATGGAAGCTACGAAACAGCTTCAAGGCTTCGATGTGGACACAGAAGACGTAAACAAAGGTCATCAGCTCATGGCCGTATTGGAGCATTACCTTCCTCTTTTCTTGGTCAAAGCTACTTCACAATGAGCAACAAAACAAATGAATCCAGCATCTGAGTTATTACCCATTTTCTTAAAATAAGAACTGAAAAAAAACCATCAATACAAGTTTGGATCCGGATTCAAGTTTTGAGAATGTCTTTGTCAAGTCTCTTTCTATTGTCTCTTCTTATACATCCTAAACCATGGGAAGATAATCAAAAACCTTTTATTTATATTATTTCATCTATAAACAAAACAAATATACTGTTATATTCTCTTACTACTGTCTCTGACCATAACAAGGTTTTACAAATGAAATATAATTATACAAAAAAACTTATGTAATAAAGACAAAACCTGGATTTCTTTCAATTTAAAGAAACGTTTTACATGTAAGTGGAAGAAGATACATATTTGGAATTAGAAGGCATGAAAGCAAGAACCATAAGCAAAACCATAATCCCAATAGGAATCAAAAGCAGCATAAATGGAGGAGGAGGCAATGGTGGAAGAATCAATGGCAAGATCAAGAGTGATGCTGTGAGACCAATAAGCACAAACATTGACTCTAAACTCAAGTAACTCGCTGATATTAGCCTCCTCGGACTGTTCTGAGACGACGACAATGTCCGAAACTTATTACCACCACTCATCATTTGAGCTTGAGTAGTAGTACTAGTAGATCCACCAAAACTCTTGTTATCTCTTCTCATGTCCATGACCTTGTTGTTGTTGCTTGAAGAATGGATGTTTATAATGTCTTTTTGTAGACTGGAGATTTCACGAATCATCTAAAAGAAAGGAACTTTTTTTTTTGTTTTTCTTCAAGTCTGATCTCGAAATCAGAATGTAGCTTCTTGGTTGATGAACCCTGATGATGAAATTACCCAGAAACTTGAGATGATTTCCGAAACGCAGACAAAATCAGATTGATCTCGAAAAGACTGAAACTTTTTTATTTTCCGGTGATGAAAGATTAGATTTTGTGTTCAAGAAAGCTGCAAGAAACAAAATTTGTCGACGTTTTGATCAGTAAATCGTTATGATTCATAAACATAACAGACAACAAAAATAAAAATCAGAGCAATGAATCAGACGAAAAATTTACAGACAACACATCAGAAAATTGAAAGGTAGTACCTTTAAAGCGTTAGAGAGCCAAACTCCTTT